GGGGGGGGGGGGGGGGGGGGGGGGGGGGGGGGGGGGGGGGGAAAGAATGCAAAACACTTTGTTATGAAGCGCATGCAATGAGGGATACATGAGTCCAAACCAACAGCCGAGAGGTCCCACGGCAAACTGCAGAGCGAGAGCCAGAAGGTGTCCCGACACATGCCCGTGCACAGATGTGTGGGTGTGGCCCAGGCAGAGCCCTACGCACGGCGTTTTCACACAACTCAGAGCGGAAAACAATCAAAGGAAGAAAAAAAAAGGGGGGGGGCTTTGAAGGCTGGACGTTGAGCTCCAGCCTTCGAGGAAAACACACTCATCCCACAGAGGCGAAAGCTGTTCACCAAAAGAAGAGGAAAGCCCTTTCCCACAGCTCCTAACTACCACTGAAATCGCTCTGCTGACTGAAATCTGATGCGAACTTAACCCACTCGGGTTATTAGCCGATAGCTGTTTGAAAAACGTATTCTTTGGGGCATTTTGAAGATATTTTGTCACTATTATGATTAAACATATACATTTTCCTATCATATAGAAACTGAACAACAAGGATTTATTTGCAAGAGGACCAATTAATGAAAAATCAAGATTTTTTTGCATTCAAAGCTGCTCTAACCAAAGCCTGTTCTTTGTAAAGACTTCCAGCTCTGTGATGATTGAATGAACATCCTGGAAATGTAGAGCACTACTAATCTATATCAATCTATCACATAATCACAGGATGCTGAGAAGCTACTAAAGTCGCTTCTGATACTTTCCAAGATAAAAAAAGAGTCATTTACATGCAATCTCGATTTGAAAGCAGCTAATTAAAGCTTTGGATCGACACATTAGCCAATTCAGGTGTGGTTTCACTTTTTGGAAATATCATTTGAAGCCTGCCATGAAAAAGGCTACCACACATCTCACAGAAGTGGAGGAAAATTAGAAATTTAAGAGCCCTTTTCTGAAGAATGAATTTTGTGAGGAAGAGAGATGCCGTGATGATGTTCATTAGGAGTTTTCCCGTTCTTTAGGTATTCATTTCCAATACAACTAAACAGAGAAAACAGGAATGATCTGTGATTGTTCCTCTTGTAAAGGCTCGTCTGTGAGGACCTTAATTCTCTGCTGTGGAGAACATTACAAAACCAGGAGATTCTTGTTTGTTAGAACAGTTGAATGAGCGAGAAACCACCCAGCTTCACCCAAAATTGACCGGCCAGTCCTGCAGGCAGAGGGGCAAAGCAGACACGAGTCACTGGACAGCGGGGGCATGGAGGCGGCCTCGGCCTGACCGGCTGACCGGCTCCGGGCAGCTTTTTCGAGACGTCTGATGCTGGAAGAGACGCTCGTTTGGTCGGCTCTGGCTGACCGGGAGAGACGGGTCATGCAGCGCAGACAGAATGACCCTGCTTTGAACAGCCCGCTGGGTTTCTTTTGTTTTTTTTTGTTTTTTTGGGACATGTAGACTTGCATTAAGCTCCAGACAAACGGGGACAGGAAGCGGGATGGCAGCCAGCGCGCTTCGTTCCACAGGCCACTCGCACAGCACCATGCAGGTGTTTGGGGCTCCTCGGGCTGAACGGTCGCTCACAGATCCCACGTGCGCCCTCCGTGTGTGTGCGTGTGTGTGTGTGATAACATGCCTTGGAAAGCAGCCACACCCCTTCACTTTACAGAAAACAGCGCAGGGCAAAACAACTCCAGAAAGTCCAGCCGAATGTAAGAGGCCGCAAACGTCACTCCACTCCATTCACACCAAGCACCCTCCTCCCACGGGGCGGCCCCGGCTGAGTGGGAGCAGGTGGGCGGCGAGGAGGGATGGGGGGGGGGGGG